GAAACATGACCATCCCCACCACAGTCATCGTTCAGAAACATGACCATCCCCACCACAGTCATCGTGAACCACAGCTACCTTTACTGCCATAGCTACCTGCCTGTGTCACCTTCATCCACACCATTTGTGCCTTTCACCACCATGGCCACCTTCAGGGCAGCAGCCGCCAGCATCAACACCCGTGGCCTCGCTCCTGCTATCCCAGGGATCCCCTTGACTCTGACAGGTACACATCAGACAGGCTTCATTACATGTGAGTTTGGGAGAGGAATTAAACAGATGTTTTTAGTATCTATTTAAAAAGTACTTACTATGCAACTAAATAGTTTAAAGGGTATCAGAAGGCACGCTACACTTACTAACAGGGTCAGAGGAGCTCACATAGATGACCTAATTGCAACACACTTTCCATTTATTTCTTCATTATGTATCCCAAAGACCATTTTCTCAACCAACATTTGGTAAAAATGGCTGGGGGGTTACCTAATATTTTAGGAAAGTAACTGTATTATCTTTCTCTGCCCTGTTCTATAAAATTAGTCTAAGTAAATGAGGTTTGCAGGACATGAACAGAAAAATCAAGCCCATGTTTACTTTGAGCATGAAAACACCTATTACTGAACTTCTAAAATGCTGTTAGTCATAATGGTCCTCCTTTCCCCAATTTTTTCTTCATCTTCCTATGATGAAATTATTAAAACAGTTGATCAGCTCTGTTCTTTGTTAATGTCAAGCTGAGAGTATTAGAGATTCACCCACCAACACGGCCTGTTGGCCTAAGACTGATGTTCTTCTGGCATTTGCTAACACTATTAAAAACATCAGCTTAAAGTATTTATGAGTGAGTCTTCTGACATAATCATCATTAGTCACACACAGATTTATGATCAGCAGCTTATAATGCATCCTGTTGTTATGTGAATATATATCAGTGCTGTCAATATGATTTACATAGGCTTCAAAAAGAATTCTGATTTTTAAATTGATTACTTAAAAGTGTCATAGTTTGACCTGCCCTCATAAATGAAAATGTAAATATTGTTTAGATGTATGTGTGGCTAAAACCATGATGATGTACTTCTATAAACTTACTATGGTGGCTAAAAAAGACAAATAATTAGGTTAAAGTAGCCTGACCAGCATGCTAACTGGAGGACATAGAACAATTGGAATTCTCGTGGAGTCCCATGGAAAGCAGTTTGGTTGTTTCTTAAAAAGTTAAGTGCATTTTCCACATGGCCCAGCAATCTAACCACTTAGGCATTGATGCAAGGGAAATACAAAACAATGTCCAAACAGAAAAGCTTGTAAGTGAATATCAGCAGATTTGTTCATAGTTACCCTGAACAGGAAACCACCCAGATGTCGATTAACTGGTAACAAGATTGATAAACAAGTCATGGCTTTCCTGACAATGGAATACTATTCAGCATGAAAAAGAATGAGCTACTGATACATGCAGCAACACAGTTGAACCTCAAATTCACGATGGTGGGTACAAGAAGTCAGACTCAGAGGCTGCAGGTGCTTTCATCTATTTGACATTTTGGAACAGGCAAAACTACATGTGTAGAAAAAAAATCAGTGATTGTTGGGGGTGGGGTTGACTAATTAAGGGCATAGAAACTTGGGGTAAGGTTGACCGAATTGTTTTACACATCCATTATGGTAGGGGTGGCTACATGAGCATGTGTCAAAATCAGGGAACTGTACATCTAAAGAGAGAATTTTTATTGCATGTAAATTTTATCTCCACGAACCTAAGACATTAATTCAATGTGGTGAATAAAAGAAGATAAATTAGAATTTAAAGTATGTAGATCCTGTTCCTGCATATCTAAAGATACAAGGGAAGCCAACAACCTCATGGTTGCTGTGGTAAAAACAGGTTAACTTCACTGACAGCTTAAGGCCCCATAAAGGTTACAGTGTTACCATGGATACAGGCTATTATTACCTTTTGTGTGAAACCTCTAATATTAAATTGTGTCTCACATGTGATATATGGGTAACTCAGAAACCACCATACAAAGTCACCCAAAGGTTTTTCACTTTTAGGAAAAAATGTTTCCTTCACAGACACATGACAAGACGGTGTAGCATCCGTGAACATATCCTTAAGAGATTAAGAGAAAGTTAGAAACGTTTTCACTTAAACTTGAAGACAATTCTGATCTTTGTATGCTGGTTTGTACCCACCATTGTGAATTTGAGGTTCAACTGTGTTGCTGCGTGTATCAGTAGCTCATTCTTTTTCATGCTGAATAGTATTCCATTGTCAGGAAAGCCATGACTTGTTTATCAATCTTGTTACCAGTTAATCGACATCTGGGTGGTTTCCTGTTCAGGGTAACTATTATTTGTTATAGGAATCACTTCCGACGGGTGGTTGCTCAAACGATGACACAGAGACCTGCGGAAGGCTCAGCCCTCCTCTCTCTGTTGACTTTCCAGGGAGATCATCATTTTCCAATGTACAGAACAGACAGTGAGCAAATGAGAGGCTGGTTTTAAACACGGGCAAACTCTCTGTCTTGGGACTCAAATGTGCGATCTCTTTTAATCATTCAGTATGATGCTAGGGTATAAATTGACGCTTAAAAAGCACATCTCTTTCAAAACTATACCAAAGACATGTTGCCACAGAGACTGCAAGGCAGCCAGTCAACAAGTAGGAGCCATTAAAATCAGCTACCGCTGAGTGAGCGCTTCCCCTGCTGTGAGGGGCTGCACTGCCCACCTCTCCAGCCTCGCCCCTCAGGGTCCAAGAATCCCAAAGTGCCCCGAGCACCTCACAACACTAGGCTAATTCTTCCCTTTGTGTCTCTTTCCATTCACTCCTCCATGCAACGAATGCGTTGTGACAATCTACCATGTGTCTTATTGAGTGAATTGTGTTACCTCCAAATGTACATGTTGAAAACTTGGCCCCAGTACCTCAGAATGTGCTCTTATGTGGAAACAGTCATTGAAGTTGTGTGTTAAGATGAGATGGGCTCCTGTCCGTCCTACTGGAAAGTAGGATTTTGAACACAGACACACATGTTGGGAGAAAAGCACATGAAGATGATGGGAAAGAGGGGAGTGACGCCTCTCCAAGTCAAGGAAAGCCAGAGGCCACCTGCCACCCGCCAAAGCTAGAGAGACATGGAGCAGATTCTCCCACACAGAGACAAAGAGGAACCGACACTGCTCACTCCTTGCTCTTGGGCTTGCGGCCTCCACAAGTGAGGCAATCGATTTGTTTAAATCAAATCAGACACCAAAATACCCCCCCCACCCCCCACCTCCCAAAACAGTCAGCAAAGCTATACTAAAAACACATTTGCTAACAAGGAGAGTCTGCAAATGTGGGAGACAAATACCTTCTTCGCGGGGGGCTATGGCACAGGGGTGGTTATTGTTGTTGCTGCTGGCCAGGCTCCAGCGGACCTCAACCTCGCCCCTCAGACTTCTTTCAGAGTTGAATCCTGTACCCGCATATAGGTTTTTTCACCTTTAAAATCACTAGATAATCTTCATTGGAGGAAAAGATGGCCCTTTGCTTGAGGTGTGGCATAGCAGCCTGCAGCCCACTTCTGGCAGCAACAAATGACAGACTGGCCTCCGCGAGACGCCAGCTCACACCCAGTGTCAGTCGGGGCTCGTGGACAATGCCGGGAGCCTTGTGGCAGCTGTTACACCAACTTACAGGCGTGGGGTCCTGGGCCATGGTAGTAATGACATTTTCCTGGCTGGCTCTGACCCCTGAATCTGCCAGATTTGTCTAATGCACACTGTGAACTGGTCCAGTCAGGACTCAGAGCCAAAGCTCAAAAACTGCTTGAAAGTGACAGGAGATTAGACAATTTTTGTGACTGGTCATCAGCTTGTTTATATCCCAGTCCCCGTCCCTTTCTGGTAGCCCTTCCTCCCCATTATTTTTCCCTGCTTGGTTAATGTTACTGCAGCAGTTACCTCTGCTCATTAAGACACTTTTGTAGGCGATTTATACTCCTGGTCTTACAGGGCAGTCAGTCTGGATGGGGAATTAAAAAAAACACATCCCACTTATGATATATTGCGTCCATTTTTTTTTTCACATTTTAGAAAAATTTTATATCATTTTTACAAGCTGTAAAATTTATCCCCACCATCCTACTTATCGTCCCCTTGTTCAAATAAGATCTGTATATTAGATTTGTATATTCAGAGGGGTAATACAGAAATACCCACGTGTGATGATAATTTATGCTCTTTCACTCTCAGATAACTGAGCGTCCCAAGCCATAAATACACCACATATCAACTGGTGTTTTCAGACATGAATCTCTGTTTCTGTTCTGCTCCCAGCGCTTGGGCCTCTCCCATCAGAGTCTGCGCTTCCTCTCCCACCTCCACAGCTGTTTCTTTCTAACCACTCCCTGGAATATATAGTACACCAGGCTGAGGTGTGGTGTTCTTCCACAAAGGCACAGAAACTGGCCTGTGTCTAAAGTTGTCTGTCTCCCCAAATGCTGGTGCTTCATCACATCATCAACTATTTTTTAAATATCTAATTTTCCTAGCGCCTAACTAGTAGCTATCTATATCCTACCTGTAATCGCAAAGAAGTGGAAGCAGTTGAGTTTAGCCTTACACTGACCTCACAAACAGTGTCCTCTTACCACACGAGCTGGCGTGTATTCCATTTAAAAGTTCTAAGACTGCATCATTACGCAGGATTTCCTGACTATTTTGTCAGAAGGTTTAACCTCATAGACAAACCTCCCCATTTCCCAGACGCTCTTCCTTTATTTCCTACTGTGAGGCTGTATGTATTTAGCATGTTTCTCTAGGGCGGTTGTGGTTATGACCTTCCACAAATTACTGATAGCTACTGGGCACGTTCTTTCGCTAGCAACTTAGCTTTTGAGTTGTCATTTCTCCTCTTCCACGCTCCCTGACAAATGGCTGCCATGTCACTTACTTGAGAACACACATCCCTTCTCTGGAGGAAAACGAACATGTGGGCCCGGTACCTGCTGCATGCCTTGCATGGTTTGCTGCAGAAACTGGAGCTGCTGGTCCTTGGTGAGGTTTTCTTCTGTTCGGAAAAGCTGTTCTTTCTCTTGTTTCAGCAGCTCCACCTCGTTCCTGTATGCATCCAGCTGCCAGCGGAGGCTGTCGTTCTCCTCTTTGAGAGCATAGGCCTGAGCAGCCAGAGCTGAAGAACAGACACCACGAAGGCAAGTGAGTTAACTGCTCAGACTGAGGGCATCTTCTGTGGCATGGGGCTCACGGAACTCTCATACCAGCTCGGAGGTAGAACCAAATGCCTCACCCCGGGGGCTCTTTATGTTGCCCTTGGCGAACATCTCTTCTGTGGGGATTGTTATCTTTTCTAACTGCCCTGACTTATGTGTGAATGTTTCTTGTAGACATGGGGTGAAGTCCTTCTAATTCTCATCTTTTGCCCACCCCCCTCCAATCCTAGTCACCTTTTCAGAAATTGATATGTGTTGCTAGGTGATGATGGTATTTGGCATTCCAGGCGCAATCATCTCTACCCATCACTGTCCTGCCCCTTCCTGCAGAACAGCTCAGCTCCTAGGAGTGCTGCTTTTGCTCGGATAATCAGCAGTTCCATAGGTTGAGGCATGTGGCAGCATCCCGGGGGAGAGGGCAATTGACATGCACACCATTCCTCCCTGCTCTATTGCTGGGACAAATTGCACAAATTGTTTTCTCTAACTCCTATCAGAATGGTAACCTAGTTCCATCTGTTTCACCAACAGATTAAAACTCTTTTTCCTTCCAAGGCTGACTGGTTGTTCTGCTTCTCCTTCCTAAAACCTAAAAATCTGTGTGTGTAGAGACAGGCATCATGCTCACCTGCTACTCTCTGAGAAGCCCAAACAGCTAACCCCGGGCCTCTTATTGAGCACACAAAGCTGAAATGAATCAAAGGGAGGAGTAATGGTACCCAGTAAAACTGAGGATCGGGAATCCATTTCTCTAGGTTCTAGCTTATTGCTCAGCAGCCTCTCCAGTAACAATGAAATAATAATAGCTTTGACACCCGCTATGTAAGTTACTAACGGGACCAAGAGCTTCACAGAAACTAACCCTCTTTGCTGCCTCCCCTATACCTCCTGGGCCCATCAAGCTTATGCTGTGGGAGCTGTTCTTTTTTTTTTTTTTTTTTTTTTTTTTTTTGCTTTTAGGTTCTGGGCTATTCTTGTTTTTACCAGATTGTTCAAAACTAATCTCAAATTCAACCCCCTCAGTCCTCTCTCACTACTTTCTTTCCTATCACACAGAAAATTCATTCTCTACTTTTGTAAGCAGGCGAAAAGTGAAAGAAAAATATGAAAGCTGACCATGAGAAATTGCATCAGAGAAGCAACTTCAGGTCCGTAAGAGCGCAAAGTGAAGCACTTCTTGATCTACACTCATTTCCAGGCCCCCCTTCCCTCGCGCCCCCTCCTCCCATCAATCCACAGAGCCAGAGCCAGGTCGGTAGCCTGGATGATCTACCTGTATCTCAGGGCAGCGGTGATGGATATTTACTGACAGGTGTTCTGAGACACTGGTGAATTTTCTCCTCAAATATCAAACATTAAATTATGTTACTAGTAGCTATACAGCTGAGTGTTTTATGGTATTCTATTTTGCAAAATGATAATCCCTATATAGTACACACTGTAATACCAATCAAATAAAATGTGCCACTAGCCTGAAGGGATCACTTAGCAAACCTTGGTTGCATAGGTATGACATGCCCAGGACTGTTTGGGCATCTTGGATTACAAAAGAGGAGACAGAATATATTTTACTTTCCAGTAGCTTTACATAGTAATAGAAACTAACAGATGTGAAAGAACAGCCTATGCCTGGAGTACAGTAGGTGTTCCATAACTGCTGGCTGAATGAATAAGACAGCAACTCAGTAACAAAGTGTTAGACAAGGGACTAATTGCAACTGTTCAGAGAAGAGAAAGACAAACCCACACTGGAGGAATGAAAGGATTGAGGAAGCGCTTCTCAGTTCAGACTAAGAACATAAACAAGAACCCAGAGAGGAGAACTGAAAGTAGACTATTTGGGGGGCAGGAAGGAGAAACTCTGACCAGGAAGGCAAATGTCTGTTTGGAAAAGCAATAAGAAAAAGCAGAGCCATGTTCGGTGAGGAGAGCGTGCAGGTGCTGAGTGAGGCGCATTGGGTTGGCCAACTGAGAAACACTTCAGGCGCTTGGGCAGCGAAGGACATGATGAAGTTGGAGATTTAGGAAGATGAGTTTGGCAATGGTGCGTGGAATGAAACTGGAGGCAGAAAAGAAAGACTAAAAAGAAATTTTAGTTCATGTATATGTGTGTGCAAAACCCAGGAGCAGCCAATTTTATAGTTTTCAGAGTCTTATTTATAAAATAAAAACTGACCAAAGGTCTAACCTAGGAGGCAAGAGCTAGTAAATTTTAACACCGTGCTGTTCCACCTCAGATCATGTCCATACCCTGAGATGGCAACTCTGACAACTCAGTTTACCAGTTTATAAGAAAATGGTTATGGCATCATTTGAGAGAGGGATGTTGTAATAGGGCAAAATTATAGGAAATGCAAACGATGAAAAAAGTGTTGGCACTACATGAGCACATTACTACATTTAGTAGCATTCAAAGACACTTAAGTCATTTCCTTAGGAAGCTCTATTTGGCCCTTTTTCAATTCAGAGTGGCATTTTTATTATCATAACTGATAGCAGGTGTTTGTGAAGAAATCGATTAGTATGCAGGGATGGAAATTACATTTTCCAAATGAATTGCATAGTCTGCAAGATATGCAGAAATCTGTGTAGCAAAATGCAAGCAGCTATAAAGCATGTGCCAGCAACATTATTTAAATAAATTATCTGAACATAAATACATATAGGAAAGTGCACCCATCCATTATTTTAGGGCTTCTCAGAAGCCCGTGGGATGACACTATCGACAGTTCTTAATCTTGGCTAAGCCAAGTGGCCATTGTTCCTGCCAAGTAGGATCGAGTGTGCTCTGCAATTCTGGAATAGAAAAGTGATATCATTATATATAAGAAAAATAGCAGCTGTAACTCCACGCCCATCCCTCCCCCCATGGAAAAACAGAATCAATACCGTAGCCAATCCCATGAATGTTTTTATAACAGAGGCATATAACTGATTTACATTCTTGATTAAATTATTTCAAGCTTGATATTTGCAAAAAAAAAAAAAAAAATGAAGACTCGCGGTAGCAAAGTGGTGGTCTTGTAAAGGGTGAGAAATTGTATATTGACTCTATTTAACTTCAGGCCACCTGTCTGCAAACATCATTCAGCAGGCTACAACCTAAATCTACCCCTCAGAGGAGGCTTTCTGGAAGAGGCTAAATTATGTTTCTTGAAGCAGCAGTCTCAAAGAAGCAAAACCCTAATAACTTCTAAATTACTATAATCTCTTAGTGTGCCCACAGTTCAGAAACTTGTAATGCTCACCCATTTTTTCCCCCTTTAGTTTTTTTCTGAGACACTGGATTAAATTTAAAATTTTTGAAGAATGTGCAATTAGATTTCTGTGATAAAATTTACCCCACAGTTCAAATAAGCATCTCTTAAAAATAAACTACAGCATATGTCTTTGGGTAAGAATCCTTGAACGGCGCACTGTGTTAATAAATAGAATATGTAGCAAAGGGGCGTAGCATGTGGATTACCGATTATCAATTAAAATAACACAATAGGACACTTCACATGTGAACTATCATCAGCATAATTAAATCCTCTTTGGGTGATTTAAAGGGTGAACCTACCGGAGCGTCTAGAGCATCACAAATCCCTTCCCTGACCAGCTGTTCACCGGGAGGGCACAAAGCCAGGAGCTGAGACTCGGCCAGGCCAAGGTGAGGGGAGCTCTTGCTTGAACTTGTTCAGGACCTCAGGAAGACTTGCTTACTGGGATTTTTGGACCAGGTCAAAATAAAATAACAACATTGGAAAAACTTTTCTAAAAAGTTCAATTAATTTCAAAATTAGCAGGCCGCTAAAATCAGCAATGCCATTTGATTCAAGATTACGCTATATGGCTAAAGAGGAGGTTTAAAGAGTTTACTGATCAGTGCCCCCTTGAGTCGATTATTCTTTATAATATTCTAGATAGTTCTTTAATTATGGTCAAAGTGGCCACCTTCCTGAGACTCCTGTATTCCTTAACATGTTTCCATGGGAACAGAAAGCGGCAAGTTTACCTTCTTGAAATAAATAATCTGGCGAAAGCCTTGGAATCTCCCTTACCAGCCTGAGCCAGCCTCAGAAAAATAATTAGCACAATATGAAAAATGTAAGTTATTTTGGGTTATGTCCCAGCAAGCTGACAGTATGTTAATATCCTTTTCATGCCTAGGCAAGATGTAACTAAATAATAAAGCACTTTAACATACTGTTTCTAACAATATCTGCATTTCTCAAGAACTGTTCATTTCCGTCTTTGGGGAACTCTGTATATAACTTTCTCTCCCCACTTTGCCAGATGTCCTCCTGAGGGGGGTGGACACGTGGGGTACTTGCTCCACTGTGATTCCATTCCCGCGTGCAAGTCTCTTTCAAGGATTTCGCTGGCTGCGGCCCCAACAGGCAGGCGCGCGGACAGGAGCAGGCTGCTGTGGACGGGTCGGAGACTGGGGCCCGTCCCCACACCCGGTGTTTGCCTTCCAGTCCTTGTGGCCCGGTGACGTGGGGACTCTCTGGGCTCCAGCTACCCCTAGCCCCTCCCAACTCTCCCTGCAGGGTCTCTGGGGTCAACCGTGTTCTTTGTGTAAGCCAGTGTTGCTCCCGAGAGGTGACAGCGCAATGGCTGCCCAGGACGGTCTTGTGTGTGTGTGTGTAGGGGGAAGAGTGATGTGTGTTTTTTCTGCACAATCCCTCATTCTCTTCCTGCTGCTGGGATGGACCTGGATCTTTGTGTCGCTGCATGGGGGAAAGACATCTGTCTTCTAAGAACATCTGCTAGGGACATACCTCTGTGCCCAAGAGAGAAATTTTTTTTCTAAAAAAAATCCACTAAATATTTGCAGTTTATTTCTAAAACTGCTGGTGTTACTCTAATCCAGTGTTTCCCAAATACTGGCTCATGTTAGAATCCCCTGGAGGCATTCTAGAACATTTACTTGTGGCCTTTTCCCCCAGTTCCTATACGTATATGCACCCACCAC